TGATGCTGCTGCAGTGACGTCTATTGTAATATAATAATAAATAAAGTCTACTCATAAGCCTCGGCAATCGGCATCGTTATATTACAAAGTTCAATATGGCGCTSTGCTTTATTTTCTCGGCAACCGGATCACATAATGTAATAATAATAATGTTATGGCCGATCGACTTCAATGTAATAGTACCTATACTCGCRTATATATAATATATACCTWGCTATTAAAATAGTATATGGTTATTGGTTATGATACTTAAGTTTATTACCAATACAAATAATGAAAATGTTATTCCGCGACTTCTCAGAAACCGCAGYACGACTGTTACTTGTCATCCCTARGATTAACCACTCCGAGAAAATCCTTCAAATAATCACGCCACATGAACTATTGTAACTAACATAATATATCGYACAAACAGATATACTTACTATGCGCATATACACGCAAACTATAGTCAAAAATACTTCTAAAAGTCATAATCTCTACTCGAATGATAATAAAAATAAATTTCGATCGCTTTTATAAATTTTTACCCGTCTATTTCCGACATATATTTCAGAATCAAAATTCTTCTAGGTRTTTTATTTTTTGGCTAGTCTAGTTATTTCCAAAGCACTTAGAATTCGAAACATAAACATTAAGCGTGTGTAACAATAATATTATAAATTGTTTTAATAAAAATCATAAAAAACGTGTTCGTTATACTTTATTACAAATAAGGTATACTGTACAATATTATATTATATATACCTATATACCGCCGGAATAGGAAATAGGAATCTACACTATCCCATGACTAATTCAATTAATACGTATAAAGGTACAGGCAGACACAGAAACATCTAACAATATATTATTATTATATTATGATTGGACATTTTGTGACCTAGCTATTGTGCGTCCGTCTACTGCAGCAGATTTAATAATATCCTTTATGGTTTAATAAAAATAATAGCTCGACCGCCTACTACGATTATTGTTCCAATACCAATATATCTAAAGCAATTGATTTAGAAAAAATTATTTCGTTATATAATGTTAAACTACTAGGTATACATAAAATAATATGTGTAAAGGTATACTGTATTGTATACATATTATATAAACCTATATATATATATATATTTTTTTTTTTTAACAAAAAGGTATATTGTTAAGTTTTCTTTTAATAGATATTTATATTGCGTATAAAAAAATCAAAACAATTTCTATATATTAATTAGTAAGTCGTACCTACGTATATTCATATAATATMCAATATCTGCCATATAMAAATAAACTTCAAAGGTACTTAGATGAAATATTGAAAATCAGAATTTAGTTAGTATTTATTGAATCATGAACAAAACATTATAGTAAATATACTGAACTAGTTTTAGTAGACTAACCTTTTTTTAATCTAATAAAACATGTCACCTGATTGTTAATAATATAAATCTAAAGTTGGTCAAATATTGTAGATCAGATACAAACCAACACAATAATATATTGTATAATTATAATAATATTATAAGTAATAGTTTCAATAATAATAATGGTCCGTGAATTATTATTGTTTTCAGCCGATTTCAATGGAGAGTTGGACACGGACAACAARCAAAACGCCGTGGCCAGGGAATCTGACGCGTCGTCGAACGTGTCGGACATCAAAATGGAGACGGGCACCGGGTCGTCGCTGAGCAACTACCGGTACAAAATTGACTACGGCGCAGATTCGATGACCGTGACGACAACCGCGACCGCGGTCGACGACCAGCAACCGCGGTCCGCTACCCCGAAGAGCGGTGGTGGCAGCCAGACCACCCTGCCCCGCGGCGGAGGCGGCATTCCCTTGGCCGGCCCGGTTCCAGTCGATCCCAGATACGCCACGGCCGCCAGTTACTTGGGACACCTTCACCCACACAACGTCATGCACCACCCGCTGGCCAACGGCTCCGTTATTGGCGATTACGCGGACCCACTCAACTACGTCAGATACACCACCAACCATCTCGCCGTGAGTGTCGCTCATATTATTACGTCCTACCCTGCGCATTATAACGATATGCATATAGGGACTACCCCATTCCCCCAATGTCAAAAGAATCTCGATTATAAGGTTATAGATGGCTGATTTTCATCCAAGAAATTCAACTCTCCCCCACCACCGCCCTTAAAGGGGGCTTGCATATTTTGTCCTCGAATTTATTATATAAATAATTAAATTTTTGTCTATAAAAATACATAATGGGGTGATAATTTCCCCTTTTTTAAAAAATTCTGTTTATTATTGTTGTTTTTTTTTCCCCGGGCGATTTTACGCCTATATCGATTTGCTCGTTTATATATTTTAACCGAAATACACAAAGCACTAGGCGGATTGACTGTTTCAGTCGGATTACTCGGATTTGACCATAAAGCAAGGTACAATGACTTACCCAGTTACTACCCACCATGAATTRTACACTAAAACATTCTAGCAAAAAGTCTCAGGGGCTGGGGCAAATCACACCCCTTATTAGCTCACTCTCGATGGTTATAAAAGGTGGGTCATGTGCCCACCCATAACAAAATAAATTACTACTTTAAATAAGAAATAATTATGTCAATTGGGAAATAATGCTAGCTTMTAAGTTCAAGAAAAAAACAATAACCGGTAATGGATATCGGATATGGCAATACGAATTAAGACAAYGTTATTTTATTTAAAATTTAAGATAGAAAAATTTAAATCTAACATCTGGGAATAAGGGTGATTATTCTTTTTTACGAATTGGTGTTTATTGTCTCGTAAAGATATACCTTCAAAATACAAATTTGTCGAGTTGTTGATGCAATGGTGRCATGTGCGCATGCGTGTACTGTGTTGAAAATATCATTGAAATGGTAATGCGGAGTAGCTATATAACAATAGGTACGTCACGATTGCGTACGAAATACRAATAGTTTACTAGTTTACACAAACTTATATTCATTTACATATCTGCACACGCCATCATCAACAAGGTCCTAAAATATGACATACCTTGTTATGACCCTGTCTTGTAGCTTGTAGCATAGGTTACGCACCAGTCTTTCAATCACCCTGTATAGGTAATCTTTATTACCTACTGTAGTTGTAAATTGGAGATTTTGTCACTTTTACCATCATAATATGAAAAATATTTTTAAATAATCTATATATACGTATATAATATATCTAATGGCTAATGTATTTTCCTCCACCCAACAGACGGTATATAAACATAGTTTATAGTTAAGGTCGCTACTTCACAATAGCTTTTACCCTGAAACCCAATAYATTATTTTCTACGTTTCATTCGTTCAGAATCTCTTGAAGATTTAAAATTCCACGGTTTTGATCTATTTCTTTTTTTTACAAATTTATTAAAATTGGTTTCTCCGCTTATCGAATATTTAGATTTTAGAAGCTATATCCAACCTGCAGTTAGCTTCATTATGGAGAACAGGTGTCGTCTCGAGATGGATTTATAATATGAGATTTAGATAAAATGTTTGAAATTTCTGCCATTTGTACATTTCAAAATTACAATCATAATTATTCTGTRTGTATTTAAAATATGTTATTCGGAAAGACGTGGTTTTATATTCGATATAGTATTTGTTTTAGATGGAATCTCAACTTAGAATTTGGTTTCAAACCAAGATATTTCGCTAGTGTTAATTTTGTGCTAAAATTGCATTGTTTGTGCTGCAATATTTCAGGAGTTACAAGGGATAATATTTGAGGTACCGGTGAAACTACCACACCCAGTCTATGTTTAGTGGTTAATATTATATAATGAGATCGTTTGTCATAGAGGATTTCATCACTCAACTCGGCTATTGTTCCGAAACGCGTTTGTTCGTTCATTATCTATTCATATATAATTTACCTACACCTAGCTATGTACCATGCTGCTGAAAAATTTAAAACGAATTATTAGATCTACGACAGATAATAATGTTACAATAGGTTTATTAAGATAATACCTTCAGTATATTGCGGGCGACTATCTTGATGTCTGCAGATTTACTGTGAAATAAGCGAAGCTGGACCAAATCGCCTTGCCGAGAAATTAGTTATTACCATCTAACATCTCGTTCCGGAATCGATTATAGTATTATCCGAAGTATAAACTATCTCTTAATTATTAACCGTTAATTATCGTTTTCCGATGAATAGGTAGTAAACCGAATTAGTGATGCATTATAGTATAGCAATATGGTCAGTCCATSATGGTCACTATAAAGGGTAATACACACTCGTCAGGAATATTAGTAGGTATCACCGTTTCAAATTCCTCRAACTGCAGTTTAATTATGCGAACGTAATAATTATAAAGGCTTTGCAAGTCTTCAATTTTGAATTAACAGCAATATAATATTCTAATATTTTGAATCGTCTGATGTATTTGGAAATAGATAAATTTATAAGTACCTACCAATAAAGTGTGACAGCTTATTATATTATMTTCCGTAGAATGTATGTCTTTACGTCTAATGTTGTTTTGTATTGTATTATTATTATTATGCTAAACTAATGAAACGTGTTTAGACTATGATTATTTGAAACTTATAGTAATCATTAAAAATCTATAAACATTTTATAATTTGTAAATATTGTTTGTCCGAGTGTAACGAAAAATGGATTTAATATTAGTTGTTTATATTTTTATCAAACTATTTTTCAGGACACCAATCCTTAGTGAATATTTGATTACTCAAAAACTGTAGTGGTTAACATTTTGATTTAGATGCGTCGTAATTTTCAGAATAATAATCTGCCAAACAATTCACGTTAAAAAGGGTTAGTTCTCATTWGAAGAAAAAGAAGTTTGTATCGTCATAAAAATGTTAACATGACTACTGAAAATATTAGGATCCTTATAATTGTATATATATTCTATACAACTACTTATAWACAACCAAAATCGGGATGTAAAAATATTCATTATTAACAGGCAAAGTGGGGTTGAGCATGCTCGKCGAATCACCCTGTATAACAGGTATTCATTTTTAGCTGTTGGGACGACGGGCGTTATATGATTGTTCATACTCTGGTTATAAAAATATAACATATATATAATATATTAATATGTAGTCTAGCCCAACACGCAACATCGTCGTTTTATTATAAATRCCGACATTTCGTACCTAAATAACATAACCCCAACAATTAAGAACGTAAAATGAAATAAAATAAGTACCTATAGATACACGTGTTTTTGTTCGTGCGCGCACGTGTGTGTGTGTTCAGGTTTTGTTAAAGAGTAGATTTTTGTTAAAACGTATAGTCTCAGCTCGTATTGTGATACGATACAATAATAAACAACGTATAATAATATAAAACGTACTCATAACATAAAAATATAAATTAYAATTATTAAGTACCTAACGAACATATTGCTACTAACAGTTTATTGGCGGGGGACGGTGGTGCGAGGTTTCTTGGTCCCCCTGCCATATTTAGGAACTTAAAATCGCAATTTATGATATATAGGTATTGTATAATGTACCTATAATAACAATAACGTGTTAAAGCAATTAATCATGTTATGGCATACAGAATGATTAACGAAACAGCTAGCGGTGTTGAGACATATTCGTTTCCACGTCGCTTGTAAATTGGTAACTATATGTATAACACAATATACACACTCAACACTCCCCCCACGACCATTAAGTTGTCTCCTGTAGGTACTAAATATAGTCGCAATGAAATGGGGTTAAGTCTCACGCATTTCGTATGTCCGAAGGGTCAGGCAACATAAGTATTTGTATACTTTCATAATATTATATTATCGTACATAATATTTAGTTAAAGTGACGACAAAAAAAAAGAAAAAATAACGTTGACTGCTTACTAATATTTTGTACAATCGTCTTACGATCTGGACACATGTAATAACATTATTTATATTTATTATATAGGCATAGGTCTGCGAATGCCGAATTCGTAACAAAATATATATTGCGTTTTATAGCTTAGTGGAATAGTGTTAGTAAAGACACTGTATCCAAACACRAAATGTGAAACATGTAACAATGGGTTCAAATTTGAAACTTTAAAATTTACATATTTTATTTTTGTTTTGGTGTTTTTAAATTATTGTTCTGTTACTTGCATTGCTTTAAGCCTCGATGTATTTTTAACGGTTCGCGTCAATCAACATTAATTCTTCTTATTCATTCTTACGTCTGATTTTTTCTTCGTCATATTTTTGTTATAATATAATGGGTACCGATGACATAAAAAAAAAAAAACCAAAAATTATTTGCATTTCGTTGTACTGCGTATTATGATTATTTTTTTCCATATTTTAAGGTATAGTCTCTAGTCTCTACAGTGTTGTATCCAGATTCTTTTTTTCTGGTAGGGGGTGAAAATACATTTTTGAAAAAAAAAATTATTTGAAAATGACTTAAATATGGAAATTTTGTTATTATTTCACAATTTTTAAGAAGTTACAGCCTCGCATTCCCTGTACACGCCACTGGCTCTCTACGGCATAATATTATGATACATACTATATGCGATATCACACAATATAATTTTTGTATTAAGTGATTCTTTCAAAAATAYATACTCACATACACATACTCGAATGTGCTCAGGGATCACAATTTTACTATTATTATGAAAAGTCGTTTTTTCCTTTATGTCCTTTATTGTATTTTGAATCGTTACTCATTACCTATACAAATTCTCACACTTTTTCGTCCGTCCAGAAATAATTTGGTTTGTGTTCAAACATGACGTATACACTCAATGTCATGTACACACGTAGGTACACTTCTGCAACACGACTCGAACGACAAAACTCAGTTTGATACCTAACTATTTCGAGAACTCGTTCTTAACAAAATTCTGGGAGAATATTATAAAAAGTTTGCCTATAAAAAAAGTGAGTTGTTTCGATTTGCAACTTTCGCTATTTCTTTTATGTTTATAAATTCTGGGCGATTACTATTTCCATCCTCACGGACGTCAGAAAATAGCTAGTTGATATGTTATATTAAGACAATATTTATCAACAATTCGATATTTTTTGTCTTTTGGCTCCCACTCCTCCCCAAAGTCTGGAACGATACCGTCACTTAAAATTTAATCGTCGAATCGACAAAACTAATATTATTAAATAATGACGCGTGACGTC